CCCAGCCACCCTGCCATGCCCCTGACCCCTGCAGGGCAGGTACCCACAGAACCCTCTTGCCGTCACACACCTCCACTCCCCAGGGCCTCCTCTCGGAGCGTTGCCTGTGACCTGGGAGCCCTGTGGGTTCTGTGAGGGGACTGGAGAGGCCCCTGGGACACCGCTGAGACCCTGACTGGGCACTGGCAGCTGTGGTCACTCGGGTTCTAGGGTGGGCAGGGCCACAAGAGGCAATTTGAGCACACTTTCTCCACGCTGCACTATGACCCGCTTTCTGCAAGTGGGTGGGAGAGTTTGACAAGGAAGCTCCTTTAGAACATGACACCCAGAGCTGGGACCTTGTACGGGGCAGCATGGACTCCAGACCCGTGAAGAACATCCATTCTTACCCCAGGGTGGCCCAGGACGAGTGAACCAGCATCCTCCCCAGCGTCCCTCTGCCCCAGTCTGTCCCTCTGACCCAGTCTGTACCCCTGCTGGGCATCTGCCCCATCCCCAGTTTTCCTTCCAGGGGACTGGGGCAAATCTCGGGCACAGCCCACACCTGCTAGAGAGGTAACTCTCCCTGAACCACCCCGGACTCCCACATGGAAGCCATGAGTCCTCCCACCCCCTCGCACCTTTCCCAAGTTCTGGTGGGAACTCCAGTGGACACAGGGATTTTTTTGCTCAGTGATCGAGAGGCGGGAATGGGAGGAGGGGCTGTCATTCCCCAGGAACGGATGGGATTCCCGTCACCCTTACTTAAAAGTGTCTCCAGGATACACTGTTTTTTAACAAACTTCTCTATGAATTAGTTTCCGATGCTACTTTTAAATCCAGATCTTGGACCGCAGGCTCTATTGATGCTTTAATGGGCAATCGTGTTTAGCTTTGTGGCCCAGTGCTCTGGGAAAAGGGAGAATTTTTTAGTAGGGAATCTTGCCACCCACTCCCCCACCCCAAAAAATAAATGAAAACAAGCAATCAGCACCCAGCAATGCGGCTGAATGACGGCTGGACAGGCTGTCGGTGGCCCAAGCTGCTGGTAGCGCCAAGCTGTCGAGCTGCCTGACACCCACCACTCTCCCCGCACCCAAGGCCTGCTCCAGCCCCTCAGCCTGGGAAGCCTTGGGGGTCCCAGAGTCGCAGGCGGTGCTGCACTTTGGGCTCCCGCTGGCAGAGGATGAGCTTCTGGGGAAGGTGCCTGCTGCACCTGAGAGCTGGCACCGGCACCGGCACCGTGGCCTCCCTCTAGGGTGGGGATCTGTGCCCCTCCACTGCCCTCTCTGGCCCTCTCCACCCCAGCAGGCTCTGCTTCCAGACGGCCCTCTGGGCCAGGGGTGGAGAAGGTTGCATTGTCAGAGTCTGAAAAAGTCACCCCGAAACCTGCCTTACAGCAGGCAGTGCTGCCTGGGTCGGGGTGTGGGCTGGGTAGGCCACAACCTGGCTCCTTTTCTCACACCTCTGGATAGTTTCCGTGTCACATCCCCTCCGCCAGGGCCCTGACACTGCAAGAGGGCCGGAAGTGGCATTGCCCGTCGGGGTTCCTGACAATACATAAGGCTGTGGGTGTCTGAAGGCCCCTCCGGCGAGACGGCACCTGAGCACTCAGGGCAGGAGCCGGCGGAGACAGAGCTGCAGGGAAGGGTAAGATGGAAGCCACCCCGCGCCCAGGCCTGGGCACCCTGCCCCTCGCAGCTCCTCTGCTCCAGAGCCCCCCCCCCAGCCTCCCTGACAGGCCCCCTCTTCCCCTTGGGGCTCCTCCTGGGACCCCTGGGGGCTACCTTTTTTCTCAGCCTCCCTCCTGGGGCCCTGCTTTGTGTCCAGTCATGACCTCTTGGCTCGTGCCCAGTTGGCTTCTCCAGCCCAACTGCCCCTGGCCTCGGGGCTGGACTCTGCCGAGTCGGTCGTGCTTGGTGGTCACTTCCCTCCCTTCTATCCAATCTGTCTTGAGGACCCGAGATTTCTGATTCAGAAACACCTCTGAGTGGGAGGCTAGGGTTCACCTTCAGCTTTGTGACTTTTGCTTTTGTAAGGACAAGTATTATTTGGACCACTTGAGAAAATGCTCACGACTTATCTGAAAAGAAGGTCCTTGGCATTCTCTTCTCCCTGATGGACTCATTCAGGAGCCTCTTGGCTGCGATGCTGGTGTGGCCCGAGTCATCCTGAGACGGGAGGAAAAGCCCCAGCGGCTCCACCTGGAGCAGGGGCTGTGGGGCTGGCAGAGCCAGCACAGGGTGGACGGGGAGGCCAGGGGACCAGACCCAGCCCTAGCCCAGGGAGAGGGACGAGGCCCTACCCAGAGCATCTGAACGCACTGCCCTGACCCTGGGGAGACCCTGACAAGGCCAAGGCAGCCCCCAGAGGGGTCAAGGAGGGAGGCCCGGTGACTGCAGCAAGTGAGTGGAAGCCCCTCCTCGGACAGGTGCCCCAGGATGTGGGGTGCAGGGGAGGGATGTGGGCTGGAGAGGAAGGGAGTGTGGAGTGAGGGACAAATAGGCTGCGGTGGAGTGGGGAGGAGAAAGGGGGGCAGGAGGGAGAAATACAGGCTACAGGGGAAGGGATGCGGGGTACAGGGAGAGGGATGTGGGGTAGTACCAGAAGGCGTCTTCTGTCTATGAGTTTATCCCACCATTTGTCCACAGACACCTGATGGATCCAGATACGTTCTCTTACAACTTTACAAATGACCCTTCGGTCTCTGGGCAGAACCAGACCTACCTGTGTCACGAGGTGGAGGTCCTGGATGGTGACTCCTGGGTCCCACTGGACCAGTACAAAGGCTTTCTGCATAACCAGGTGACCACCCCAGCCACCTGTATCCAGGGCCATGCTTGGGTAGAAAGTTCTAGGGTGTGTATGTGGTGTCCCGGAGTTTCTGTCACCTGTGCTTCCTACAGCTGCTGTCTCTCTGCCCTGGGATGAGGTAGGTGCCTGTGGCTTCGGGTGATGCTCCATGGTGGGTGGCTTCAAGCCCCACATCGGTAACTGGCCACATGTTCCAGGGCCTGGCACCACTAGCCCAGGGGCACCCCCACATCCCGGGCTCAGCCTCCCTCTGCTGCTGTGCTCTGAGGGGGTCAGGGCAGAGGGAAAGGGTCTGCCCCAGGCCAGGTGGTGTCAGTCGGCCCAACGCCCATGTGGCTCCTGAGGACCCTGCCCAGGACCCTCTCATGGCAGCAGCTCTCACAGGAACACCTGCCGAAGGCTCCAGCCGAGGACTCAGGGCCGCCCCGACTTCACAAGGCAAAGATTCCCGGTGTCTGCCCCTGGGCCTGACCCAGGGGAAGAGAGACCGAGGCGGGACAGGGACAGGAGGCGCTGTCCTGAGACTCTGTCCTGACCAGGGTGGGGCCGGGAGAACAGGCCACGTCAGGATGCCAGGGTTGGCCAAGCATCTGGGGAGGAGCGGGGACTGGCCAGGTCCTGTCACACCTGCCTAGTGTCCTCGGCATGACTGCTTCCCGGTCCGTGGTTGAGCTTCCTTCACTCGGCAGTGTGGGCGGGTCTCTGTGATTGCACTGGCCACAGCAGTGACAGTCATCCCATGACCCAAGGGGGCATCTCCTGCTGGGGCCTGTTGTCCCCACTCATTCTGCACGGGGAGCCCTTTTGATCTGAGTCTATGTCCCCCTTGGGCTCAGCACAGGTGAATCACAGTGGAAGCTTCTAGAATGATTGCTGCACATGTGGAGATTGGGTAGGGAAGTTGGTAGATAAGGGGTCAATCCCCCCAGGAAGGAAGCACAGCCAGCTCAGGGGCATCAGGCCAATGACCTTGGGGCTCAGCTGGCCCCTCTTCCCTCTCCCAGCTCTGCAGCCCCTCCCTGCACAGCTGGGCCTGGGGTGAGGGTCCCCAAGGCTCTGACCTCGGGTGCAAAATTTGAGGGTGCTCCAAAAACTAGTGGTCAGAGAACTATGTCTTAATGAAAGATTGAAATATTTAGTGCATTGTTTTAAAATCAAATTTAATGCCAAAACTTCATGATGAACAAAATATCCACATTTTAAATGAAGACAGATAGTAACAGGGCTATGCAGAACTGCAGAATATATCTGAGTTGAGAAAAAAGAGAAAGTCATCACTCCTGGTCTGTCTGTGTTTACATGGTTGATATTTGTTCATTTTGGATTTTTTGCATTAATTGTTATTTTAAATATTGCAGAAATATTCATCTTGATAACTGAGGTTTGGGTGTCCCTCTCATTTTGTGTGGGAGGCCCCTGCCCCCCAGCCTCACCCTGGTCCAGGCCCTGTCCCCATTCATAAGTGACGCCACATTTTGCTTTCTTTTACACTCAGGCTGGTTACAGAGGCTGCCCACCACGCCACGCAGAGATGTGCTTCCTGGACCAGCTTGGTTCCTGGCAGCTGGACCCGACCCAGCGCTACAGGATCACCTGCTTCATCTCCTGGAGCCCCTGTTTCAACTGTGCCCAGGAAGTGGCCGCGTTCCTCTGGAACAACAGCCACGTGATCCTGAGGGTCTATACTGCCCGCTTCTATTATTTCGGCGGTAAACACAAAAGGCCGCTGCGCATACTGCACAGGGCTGGGGCCCAAATCGCCATCATGACCTCCGCAGGTCAGCATGGAGCCTTGGGGCGGGGGTGGCAGGGAGAGGGCCCTGGGAAGGGGCCAGAATGCGGGGAAGGGTCAGCGTCCCTGTGGGAGGGCCCTGGTCTGCTGCCTGTGGAGATGCTGGCTGCACGCTGGGACCCACTGTGGGGCCTACTGGAAGAGGGTCCAGGCCAGAGGGGTGGTCCCAGGAGGGGACGGAGGGAGGGAGGCTAGGAGGGGAAGCAGGACTTGGGGCTTCCAGAAAGAGTGAGGACTGGGCTGGCTCAGATGCCCAGGGGAAGAAACAGTGTGAGGAAGAAGCTAAGTCCCCAGGGGAGGGTGACAAAGGAGGGGACTGAAGGACCATGTGCAAAGTCTGCCCCTAGAGTCATCCACCCTTGTTGCCGCCCCTCCCCACAGCAGGGGCTTGACGTGTCCCCCCATCCCTTCTCAGACTTTGAGCACTGCTGGAGCACCTTTGTGGACCACCAGGGGAGGCCCTTCCAGGCCTGGCAGGGGCTGGATGAGCACAGCCACGCCCTGAGGAGGAGGCTGCAGGGCATTCTCCAGGTGGGGCCTCCCTCTGGCTGCTGCCCATCTGCCTCCTCCCTCCCTTCTCTCCCTGGCCCTTCCCTCCCCTCTGCTCAGAGCCTCCTGGGGTACCCGCTCCCCCAGGGCCGTCCAGCTCCACCCCTCCCTCCCCTTCCCACAGCCTCCCTCTGCTCTCTCCCCTCCTGAGTCCCCCCTTCCTCTGCCTGTCCTTGCCACTGTCCCCAGACTCCTGTCTGTGTCATCTCTCTGACTCTCACTGCTGCTCCGTTCAACCTCTCCTGCCCTTCCAGCCCCAGGAGCACTGAGGGGCGGGGCAGCGTCTCCATGGCGGCAGGACGCCTGTGCTGAGCAGCAGACTGAGGCACCTTCTTTCAGGACACGCGAAGGGACATTCGCCACCATCTGCGGGTGACCCACAGAGACCAGCAAAGCAGATCAGCTCACAAGAAATACATTTTTAAAAACAAGTTAGAATTGAACTACTATCAGTTGAAAATATATCTTATGTTTCAAGTATACAGTAGAAAGATTATGTTCAATATATCAGAATGATTTCAATTTAATAATGAAATGATTATTTTAATGGGTATAATTCCAGATGAATAAAAAGAAATATTAAGAATCTTGCACAGTTTTTTTTTTGCTGTATAGGTATGTCATGAATTCCAAATGGGTAAATAAACACTTGCAAACTTCCAAATGCCTTTCTTTTTTAGTGATCCTTCATATGGGGCAAGGGTCACACTAATTTATTTAGGACGAGTAAGACTCAGCTATATGTTATAGGAGAAGAATCTGAATTTAAACCCTACCTGCACGGACAGTCTCATCCTGCTGGTCAGCCCCGCTCGGAAGGGACCGGCCGGGGCAATGCAGAAGAGATGGCAGGGAGTCTCCGTCTGAGCAAAGTCCTTCCAATGTGCACCGTCCCGTCCCCACCCCCTTTCAATCCCTCCCCTAGACAGGGAGCTGAGTGGCCGGGGCTGTCCCCCGGGAGGCTGGGCTGTGGCGAGCACTGGGTCTCTGTCCTGCCTGTCTCTGCGACACCTGAGTGCAGCCTCCCGGCAGCAGGTCTTCCTGGAGGATGGGACTGTCTGGAGGGGATGGCCTCCCCAAGCACGCCCTCAGCCGACTTCTCCTCACACCTCGGGGGCCAACACTGGGCCACAACCATGACAGTGACTGTAGGAGCTGGAGGAGGAGTCACGCAGTGAGCTGGACCTCAGGGCAGCGGAGGGCAGGAGGGCAGAAGGGCAGGAGGGAGGTGCAGAAGGCTCCGGAAGGCTCTGCAAGGTGGAAGGGAAATTCTAATAGACTCAAAAGCCAGGGAGAGATGGAAGGAAAGGAGAAGAGAAGAGAGAGGGGCGCAAAGCAGGAGCTGTGGCAATTGTGGGAGGACAAGGGGCAGGAAGGGGCCCCAAGGACAGGGGCGTGAGTGGGAACAGAGGGGCCGGAGGGAGGTCTGTGGCAGCCAGGCCCAGCAGGGCTGCCTGAGGGCTTGAGAGCAGGGCGGGTCATCTCTCAGAACAGGACCTGGCCACCCAGGGAAGCTGTCAGGACCCCGGCCCTGCCCCCCAGTCCTCAGCTCTCCTGCTGGTCACCTGGTGGCTCCTGAGGGACAGCTGCCCAGCTCCAGGCTTGGCCTCATCCCAGAGAGGAGGAGAGTGGAGGCAGGCTCCAGACCTCACAGTGTACGTCCTCCGCCCCAGGCAGAATCTTGTTCAACCTTCACCCCATCCGCTAGCGAATAGCCATTGTTGCCCACAACTTCAGAAGAGGACACTGAGGCTCAGAAAGGGGATGTCTCTGGCTGAGGACACACAGCAGGAAACGGCAGTGGGCCTGGCAGTCCCCCTCTCCCATCTCTGGGGACGTCCAGTGGGGTCGCTGGGCCCTCTGCCCCCTCTGTGCAGCTTCCTGGACAGATGCCCCTCTGGCCTGCCCAGAGCCTCCCTCCTGGGCTCTGTCCACCCTGTCACTGAGTTCCTGGGTGACGCCTTCCCCTTGGCAAGAACATTCTGGGCAGGATGGCATCATCTCTGAGTCATCAGCACCAGGCACTAAGTTTGTGTGCATTGAGCGAATAAGCGACCGAGTGACCCAGTGAGGGAGAGTTTCAAAGAGTGGCAGCAGTTCCTTGTCCCACCGCTGGGCCTCTGGAGAGGTCCAGAGCTCAGGCGAAAGATGCCTGTGTCTCACGCACGTAGTCTCACGCGGCAGTTCTTGGCAGCATGTGGGGACTCGCCTTCAGCAGGCGAATCAGGGTCCCAGCTCCTCGGGCCTCTGCATGCAGGGACGGAAGGGGAAGGAGAGGGGGACCGCACTGGCTTTTCACCATCACTTCCTCCGGCAAGTGCGGGTGCAAAGGCTTGGGAATGTCGGGAAACGGAGTCCAAGCGTGGCGACTCTCCCCAGAACCACCCCAGCAGTGGAAGGCGAACAGCTGGCCAGCCACCCTGCCCTGCAGGTGAACCCAGCTGGCGTAGCCCTTCTTCAACAGCAATTAGGAGCGTTCCTCCCCCAGGAAGACCTCCTCGAATTCGCCCAGGCCAGGCGGTTCCATCCCAATCGTGCCCAGGGCTCTCCTTTTGCCCCTGAGGAGCTGCACATTTTGAAAGTATGTCCCATTTGACTGAAATCGCCCCTCCCTTTTGGTTTTGAATTCCTAGCACCTAGCATAGCTCCTGGCACATCTCCAGTGCTCACTTGACGCTTCGGGAAAATGCAGTGAAACAACGAATAGGCACCAACCCCGTCCCCAGTACACTGAAAGTCCGGCTTCATCTGTGGGTTCAAAGGGAAACCACCACACAGTGAGGAGAATGCGCCAGGGGCGTGGGGGTCTCGCAGGTGGGGCGTTTCTCACAGCCTGGCGGGCAGAGGGTAGTCCGGGAAGGTTTCCCTGAGGACCACCCTGAGGAGGTGGTCCCTGAAATGGATCCTAAGGGTAGGTAAGAGCCCGCCGGGCTGGAGGGCTACGGCTGGCAGTGACAGTCGTAATACAAGGGGTTGCACGTGCAGAGGCACCTGAGTACACAACGGTGACCGTGTCACGGCGAATTTTGTTCAGCAAAGGGCCCCACAGCTACGTGGACAGACAGGCGCAGGCTGGGGCATGTACGTGCAACCCCTGTGACCTCCGGAGACTGCTCACCCCGCGGACAGGTGCTCTCCACCCGCACGCTCTCGCGGAGTCACAGCAGAACCAAGGGCCGAAGGGCCACCCCCTGACATCCTTCATGAATCATCCTAAGCGGGTCCCCTGCTCCGATGCAGAACTTGGTTCTTCCACGAGCTCTCCAATCACAGGAGGGGGGAAGGCGGAGGGTCAAAGGCAGCCTCTCAAACTTGATGAGATGAGATCCTGCACCTTCCAGCCTAGGAGATTCTTCCATTTCTCCTGGCCTTCTAGATCTTTCCACCCTGCTCTGGGACTTTCTTTTTTCCAACTCTATTTACTCCACCTATGAGCCAGATATAGGCTGCATGGCCCTTTACTTCCTGGCAGTCTTGACTTGAACTCACTGACTCCACCACCTGAAGTCCTCCCAGGAATTGTTCATCCTGCTGTTTGCCACACTCAGGATCTCTGTCCTCAACTGCAGTGTCTCTGCATAATCTGCGTTTGTCTTCGCCTCAAACCCAGACAGAAAACTCAGCCCCTCTTCAAGATGCCCCAAATCTCCTATCACAAAAAAGCGAGCTCTGTGGCTCACTCACGATTTTGTAGTGGTTGGGTGCAGTGGCTCACGCCTGCAATCCCAGAACTTTGAGAAGCCGAGGTGGGAGGATCGCTTGAGGCGAGACCAGACTGGGCAACACAGTGAGACCCCAACTCTACATAAAATAAGAAAAGTCAGCTGGGCATGGTGGCACCTGCCTGTACGCTCAGCTGCTCAGGAGACTGAGGCAGGAGGATCACTTGAGCCCAAGAGTTCAAGGCTGCAGTGAGCTATGATGACACCACTGCACTCTAGCCTGGGTAACAGAGCAAGACCTTGTCTCTTAAAAAAAAAAAAAAATTCTGTGGTGGGGACAGGAGGGAGAGTGCAGCACAGTGCTCCCCGAGGCAAAATCTCCCTATTCCTTCCTGTTCACCCCAAGTCTTTTTTGGGCTGCTGTGGCCCTGGGCTTTGCAACTGTGCCCCACCACGCAGGCCCCTCCCTGCCTCCCTCAGGTCTCCGCCCTTCCCCTGGCATTTTATTTCCTTCTGCGCTACTATATAGAGCAACTCACCTCTCCCAGGTTCCTGCTCAAACCTTCGCCCCAAATCCATCTCATGTGGGGAGTGGGAGAGGCTTCCTCTCGCACATGCTCCAACCTCCCAGGACGGCCGCTGGGGGACAGATTCAGCATCTTCTGTTTCTACCGAATCACACCTATGACCACCTGGACTTTGAAGCATGCTTGATTTTTCCCATCGAACTTTTAACTTTTCATCAAAATCCTAGTGACCTCTCAAAATTTATTTTTTTATTTTAAAATCATATACTTTATGAAACAATTCTAATTTTCATAATAAAACAATAAGTCCTGGCCAAGAAGTGCAACCGATATCTGAATGGGGGACAGGATGGACAGCACAGCCCAGCACTCTCCTTGTGGGAGGTTTCTTCTTTCTTTTTGTTCACAGATCGTTTGCTGAGCGTCAGCACGTCTCAAGCAGGCTCTCACTCACCCTTTCCTACCTCCTTGCCGTGAAGGTCAATGTCATGGTCCCCACGCTACAGGTGGAGGCTCTTGCGCAAAGACACAGCCAGGAAGAGGTAGCGGCCACGTTCTGGTCCAGGTCTGCCTCCACACTAAGCAGATTTTTGGGGACCAACATTGAGATAGGAGGGCTCAGGAGGGGAGAGTAGCCGTGACCGGGCTTAGGGAGACACGTTCCCATAACTACAATGACATAAACCACAAAGCCTGGGTTTTCAGCATTTAGATTCACCCTAGAGACAGGACGTGGGAGGCTGAGATACGTTCACAAAATTAATATGAACACTCCCAACCTTAATAACGTTCAGGCAAAACCGAGAGAGGTCAGGAGATGGAAGAAGAAAGGAAAAGTCAGTGGCTAATTCACAACACGGAGAGTCAAACGATTCTACCTCTAGCTGAGGCTCCAAGCAAGTGCTGGAATCTGCAGAGTTTTCAGGGCAGGGGCATCTGAGGGCAGCGATGTGGCCTCACAAATTCAGAAATAGTGGTTCCCGGAGGAAACCACCAGAGAAACCCAAACCAGAAGAGGTCCAGTACGACCGCCTTCAAAAAACCGAAGCCTGGAGAAGAAAATCCTTCACATTGAATTCCCTTCTCCACTATATAATGTCTTAACTAGTGGGTTTTATATTAATATTTTTAACCTCATTTGCAATATGAAATAAAACCGTAAAATAACTGGAAATTAATCTAAGAAAAGCATAGACTTTCATCAGAAAGCACCATGCAGAGAGCACAAAGGCGCATCACGGACTGGGAGAAGAGGTCTACACTACATCTGTCTGATAAAGGG